AGGAACTGAGCAAAGTGTTAGTAGATAAACACAGAGTAAGCATTCCTAAACTATGCAGTCCAGCAGGTATTGGCACCTCTTCAGAGCAAATACCTAGATAATTGTTGCATGGTAGTGCCACTGCTGTTTCACTGCAACACTGTTTGGGCATGTAGTAAGGAAATGCCAGGTGCAATGGAAAAAAAATGGTACTGCCAGGGAGCAGGCAGCCATCCTTTCATGCCTCCTTGCCCTTCCCATCAAGGATGACTTAAACCAGAGGTCTCCAAACATGGCAACTTTAAGACTTGTGGACTTCAACTCCCAGAATTCTCCAGCCAGGCTGGAAAATTCTGGGAGTTGAAGTCCACAAGTCTTAAAGTTGCAAGTTTGGGGACCCCTGACTTAAATTGTCAGAATCAGTTCCACGATGGCCTGTGGCCGACTTCATTGAAGCTGTTGGGAATATTCAGAATATTCAATACTCTGTTCAACAAGAAAGTGCAAAAATCAGCTTTCAACTATTTTTTCATTTAAAAAAAATCAGTATACAGACATTAGAGTGCTACTGAGGCTGAGCAATTGTAGAGCGGAAGGAAAGCCAAGGACTGGGAGGAGACCCACCAACTGCCGGCCAAGTTTCCCAGAACAACAAAGTCAGAATTCATTCATCCTGTCAGAACTGAAGAAGCTTCTTGAATGTGAAGCGAAATGTCTTCAAAGAAAAATCAAGGAAGTCCAGTCTCCTGAAAAAGCACCTTTGGGACAACCATGATCTGGATGACTGAGAATCTCTACAGATTTTTAACAAAGTCAGAAACTGCAAAATGGGAGTAAAGTCATTTAAGCAGTATTGCAACTGAGCTGGGGGGAAATAAATCAGCTCAGATACCAATTGGCACCAGTGACATGCAATCAAAGGGATGCAAACTGATCTGAGAAACAAAGTCCTGTGTGGAAGGGTCAGGGTTGAGGCCCTTGTGCTCTTGAGCCTCGTGAGCCTCTTGAGCTTACGAGGAAACTGCAGTTTTCTTTTGATATTTAGAACGGATTACATGGGTTTTAAAAAAACAATGCCTTTTTTTTAAAGTGGGAAGCGGGGTTTTACAGAGTACCTCTATTTAAAAAACACACACATATAAAAACTTAACAACTATAGCAGCTTCTCCAGCAATGCAGATACAGATAATCAGAGTTGGAAGGGACCTTGTAGGTCATCTAGTCCAACCCCCTGCCCAAGCAGGAGACCCTACACCAGTTCTGACAGATGCGAGTCCAATCTCTTCTTGAAAATCTTAAGTGATGGCACTCCCACAACTTCCGAGGGCGAGCAGTTCCATTGGTTGATTGTTCTCACTGTCAGAAAGTTTCTCCTTATTTCCAGGTTAAAGCTCTCCTTGTTCAGTTTCCATCCATTATTCCTTGTCTGGCCTACAGGTGCTTTAGAAAATAGCATGGCCCCCTCTTCTCTGTGGCAGCCCCTCAAATATTGGAAGACTGCTATCTCCCCTGGTCCTTCTCTCCACTAGACTAGCCATACCCAGTTCCTGTAACTGTTCTTCATATGTTTTAGCCTTCAGTCCCCTAATCATTCTGGTTGCTTTTCTCTGTACTTTTTCTAGAGTCTCAACATCTTTTTTATATGTGGTGACCAAAACTGGATGCAATACTCTAGGTGTAGTCTTAATAAGGCTTTATAGAGTGGCATTAGTACCTCATTTGATCTTGATTGTATCCCTCTGTTAATGCAACTTGGGATTGCATTAGCCTTTTTGGCTGCTGCTGCACACTGCTGGCTCATATTTAGCTGGTTGTCCACTAAGATTCCAAGGTCCCTCTCACAGTTACTGCTGTTGAGCCTGATTTCACCTTGTCTATATGTGTACTTTCGGGGGGGGGGGGTTAACCTAAGTGTAGGACTTTACTTTTCTCTACATTGAATTTCATTTTGTTAGATATGGCCCAGTATTCTAGTCTGTGTCTCTTCAAAAGTTTAGGGAGAGTGAGCAATGGGAGGGAGAGATAAGAAAAGGCAAAAAAAAAAAGGTACCAAAGTGTGGTGTATTGCAGATACCTCTAAAAGATTTGCATAGACTCTTTAAGCCACAAGGACACTCCTTAGCCTGATGATTCAATCTTGGAAACAGCCTTGAAAAGGATGACAGAATGGTGACAAGATGATGGAGAACAGAAAACTAAGTGCAGTTCAGCCTTACTGGGTTTTTTAAACTTATAACAGCTCACTTAGTGACTGTTTGAAGTTACAATGAAAAATATGACTTGTGACCATTTTTCACACTTGTGACCATTGCAGCATCCCCATGGTCATGGGATTTATATTTGAATGCTTGATAGCTGGTTCATATTAATGATCGTTGCAGTGTCCTGGGGTCACGTGAAACACCTCTTGCGATCTTCTGACAAACAAAGACAATGGGGAAACCAGATTCATTTAACAACTCAGCTGTTACTAAGTTAACAGCTTTAGTGATACACTTAGCAAATGTGGCAAGGAAAGTCGTAAAATGGGGCAAAACTCACTTAACAACATAAATTTTGGTTTCAGTTGTGGTCGTAAGTTGAGGACTACTATAGTGTGCTGTTCTCAGGATCTATGGAAAAAACTACCCCTTTATGTGTGTGTTAAAGTAATAGGTTATCACCATGAAATATGAAAACCTGAACTTGGAACATTTAAGAATAGTTGGCTGTCTTGATGGCCAATCACATCAAGGAAGAACTCATTTCCATCTAGGACATTTCAATGTTTTTTTGAAGGTAAGACCAACATTTGAACTTCAGGATGTGTGGTGGAGGCAACTTTCCAAAACCCAAAACCTTTGTGTATGTATTTTTCTACTGCACTTCATCCTGCTTATTGGTCCAGAGGGAAGAATGACAGGTACCTATTTCTCTTTTATTTCTTAAATGAAAACTAGATAAGTTTTAGACATCCACTCCAATCACCAGTTGTGGAATCCACGTTTGGTACTTGTTTTAGATTAAAAACAATGGCAGATAACCCACACAGGAGCAAGGCTTGTGTAGTTTGAGCTCTGTAATGCTATCCTACTGGATATGGGAAGAGCTGTCCTTCAACCTATCATCTGTTATAGGTTTTATGAACCTTAGTAATCACAGGGAAACCTGGGATCTGCCCATCAGATCGTATCAGAAGCATTCATGCTGAGGCTAATGAGTTTGAGAGCGATGCTGGGCAGGAAGAAATGTTCTGATTGGGCAATGTGTTTTGCACCCTGCCTAGGCAACATTTCTGGAGAACCTGTGCTCTGTGAAATACTTGGCTTTTACCTGGCAACATCTATTCTTTATTATATCATTTATCAATTAGTTCAGTTGCTTAGCAATTTGTCATGAACAGAAAGGTTGGTGGAGAAGTTAATATGTGCTGAAAAATTGTAGGTGGAAGGAAAGGGACTGGATAAAATTATTTTCTTAATAAAATTCTCAATTAACAGAATATTTAGCCAGAGATTAAACTAAGCAATTTTTTTGATTGAGCACAATGTACTGAAATACAAACTAATCACAACACAAAGAGGGAAACAAAGTTAACCAAGGTTAACATTCCCCCAATATATCATGTTGTTGAAATGTAGCCAATTCCTTTTATAAATTTATAAAGGAATGAATATAGAGATTCCAGATTTTAGGGAACCAGGATGTCACCATTCAAACTCCTCGTGAGGATAATGTTTATGGTCCCAGCTTTGACACATTGATGGGAATTATCCTACAGTCCTAATCCTTGTATTTTTTTTCATATGGGCTTGTATGCATATGAAAGAGAGAGAGAGGGGGAGAGATGAAAAGAGGGAGAGAAAGAAGAAAATGACTTAAGTGGTATTACCATCTCTCTCATCTCTCTTTACTGCAGGTATCAAGCTGTTATGAACCATTTTCTCTATCATCTTGCCTTCTACTCATGACTTTTCATTAGAGTTGAAGCACATCTCTTATTTAAAAAAGATTGCAGACACTGGAGTTTTTAAATCGGAAAAAAAGAGAGTAAGACGAATCATTATAAAATCATGTGTATTGTGGAGAATTACATAGAAAAACTATTCCTCCTCCTGGTATCATTTATTAGATGATACCACTAGTATCATCTAATAAAACTAAAATATGGGATATTCAGGGTGGCAAAAAAACACCATGGACACCATTGTATGAACCACTATTAAATTATTAGATTCTGTTTCACAGTATTTAGCAATGGCCTCCAATCTTGATTGTTCTATTTATTTTATTAAATTTAATCCCTACTTCTCCACCAATAACAACTTTCAAAGGGATTAGAAGATGACTTCAAAACAATATTGATAATCACATCGTAAGTCTACATTGATGATGGATCATTTCTTCCGATCCATTAGATGTTGATAATCAGACTTTGGTGTTGCAGGACATGTCCTTCCTACCCCCACTTATCATCTTCTGCCTGAGGCAGCTGCTTCACCTTGTCCACTTAGAAGGGATGTCCCTCTTGAGATCATTGTAACTTGATTGTATAGCATATTTCTTTAGAAAATTGTTATTTTGTACCATTGAATTATGTTTCATCATGCCCCAACCCGCCCTCTGGCTATTCTGTAATTTTCCTTGGTAAATATCAGCTATCTCCAACTATCTCCAATTATTAGTTAGGATATAGGAAGTCCAGCATCTTTAAGAAAGAAAGCCCCACCCTTCTACCATTCTCAGGTTGACTGTGTTTTCTTCACGTGTTGAAAGATGCTACAATTAGGGTGTGGTTCACAAGAGTTATTTGAAGTAAGGATGTTTATATGGGAGCATTTTAGATGTCACACCCTTTGTTTCTAGTCCTCATGTGCCGCAAATCCATGCTATCTATGAAGACAGCGTAAAGCAATTATTTTGGGTTTCTGTATGCTGTTATGCAGTTGCTATATCAAGCATGAGGAAGATGTGGAAAGGTGTAATCTTAAAGCTACCCACACACCTGTTTAAATATGAGCCTAATTGCTGTCTGAGAGTTCACATCTGACTTTTCAGGACATCATGAAGACATTGACTGGCTTGCTTCTTGTGGGTCTTCTAGCCCTTTGGATAGGATTACCCTCTACGTCTTCCAAGATTCTGTTTGGTAAGATATAAAATCATTGATAGAGGAGCCTGTTTGGCAAAGAAGTTGAATATAATTACAACAAATTATAATTCAAGCAAATAATCCTTCAGGTTTCCCAAATTAAGTTTAAGTGACTAGCTATAAATTGTTGCAAGGGTGATGAGAAATGGTGTTTTGTTTTCTTCCTCACATTGTCAGATCAAGATTTTTGTTGTCATGTTACTTATAGAAAATGTAGTTAGGGCTCTTCCAGAGGGGAGTGCAATTACAATATTAGATTGAACCCTTGCTGATCAAATGACATGGTACACTAGTGTGCAGTGTTTGTGGCATTTTTCTTCTGCAGTCTTGAGGAGATTGTTTTCAGGCAGCAAATGTTACTGCACAAGCAAGAGTGATTACAGCATTGTCTTGCTTGGGGTGGCCATTATAAGGAAGGCCTTCTGCTTCATAACCCCCCACCAATTCCTACTGTCCAGTTTTGATAAGAAAGTGACATAATTATATAAAATGTTCCAATATAGAATCAGTCTTCCAAAGGGTGTGCTATTGTGAGAAGTAACTGCTTTTTTCCCCAGTTTATTTTCTTTTTCTTTTCTTTTTATGGTGAGATAAATGAAAGTCTCTTTCCTAGCTGGCAAATAAGCAGTGGTTTGATAAGATATCTTGATATATATTTTTTGGCCAAAAAGTGTAAGCTCTGATTGGCTGTCAGTTCTCTGTGATTGTTGTGGACTTGCAATGTTTTAAACATGTGTATTCTATAGTATCTAGTAACCATAAAGAGTTATTTGCAATATTTGAATTGCACCCTCAGAAAGCTAGGAGTTTGCTTATCTAGAAAGGCCTGTTGGTGGGTACATAAATTTATTCATTTACATTTCAGATTAGACAAAGGGCAATAAAGAAGAAACAGTGCTATTATTAAAATAGAACAGGTACAAAAAAGTAGAATCTAAGTATAAAGTATATGTAGGCAAATATAACATAGGTTTCATATGATCAATACATGATATAGGTACCATAAAAAAAATTGTAAAAAGCATTTGGTTATTTTTCATTGGTTTTTTTTCTTTCTTTCAACAGGATGTGGCATTTCCCCAGGAAATCCATTTCCGTGCTCTTTACCTGGAATTAATCGTTGCAGGAAAGATTATGACTGCCCTCAAACCTTACGTTGCTGTAATTTCAGATGTAGCAGAAGTTGTAGAATCCCACCAGGTAATCTTAATTTTAATAAACAATTTCATTTCTTACAGCTCTGGACCTGGTTTCCTGTGCAAGTAGAGAAGCTGGTGACTCTGGACTGGCTATCTTAATATCAATTTGATGAATTTAATTCTCTGCTAAGATTTGCCTTTCAGAAAGGAATTCATGGGTGGGATATGTACAGCTGATACACTAAGGCATTCAGTAAATTAGTTTTTGAAATTAGGAGTCTTGCAGACAAAATAACCAGTAAGGATCTTTTCCAACTTTTCCTGAAACTTTGCAAGACATGATTTTTAAGGTTTACTCTATGCTCTACTCCTTTTTCTTTTTGTGGAATCTTCCCAATAGACATTTACAAACATTTACAATTTACAAACGTCCATTTTTATAGATTCCATCAAACGGTTTCAGGTATGTTTCAGCTCTGACACTGATAATATGAGCCTGTCTTTAATATACTTCAAACTGGGAAGAAGCATCAAAGTCAAAACATGTAATTGGAGCTCCTCTCTTAAAGTGTGGGACTTTTTAATTGTCACTATGGCTTAGAAAGACACTATGGGGTTGCACTAGATTCCAAAGAATGATGAAAATTACTTGGTGTTTGACTAATGGTTAACAACAATTCTGTTCCCTTGTACCCCCTCCTTTCATTTCAGTGCTTCCTTGGAGTTGCCCACGAAATCCATTTAAATGCACGAGCCAAGGAATACATCGCTGTCGTTATGATTATGATTGTCCAGGAAGACAAAGATGTTGCTACTATAATTGCTCTAGGATCTGTAAATAAGGTATCAGCATCAATTATTTCTCATACATCATTTTGCTTTATGTCATTTGTTATCAGAACATTCTAGAATCCCGAGAGATAAGTCTTAACTTACTTGCTACTAGATCAATCAAAAATACTTTCTGATTGATTTCAGGCATTATTTTCTGTGCTTTCTAAATAAACTCTGGTGCTCTTTAAAGAAACCCTCTCCTTCCAATGGGACCACTGTGGAACTGGTTTTTTTTTTTACTACTATACTACTTCCTTAGAGGTCTCTTACCAGACCTCTGACTTCTTCTGCCAGACCTCTGGACCCTGAGTAGAGTTTAAGCAGATGGACCATTATAGCCCTTTCAATCCTACAGAAAGGATGGTTCCCATTCTTTTTTAAAATGTTTTTACTAGACTTTTCTTGAAGCACATACCAATAAAGAAAAAATGTGAGTTTTTTTCTTTACAAGTTCCAGGTTTTTTATTTTAGCTCCCATTTTTTGGTTGTTGCAAATGTACAAGCATATAATTGAGCTGGTTTTGGCACATTATCTAAACAGAAATTGTATACTGTATATACCCAAGAACATTTGCTCAGCATTGCTCTTTTTTGCATGATCAGTGTGTTTTTCTATCTTTTTATTCCAAGCATTCTGTTGTCAGACAATATCAACATTGGGTAGAATTCATTGAATCTTCCATCCTAGAAAATGCTTTCATTTAATTGACTCTCTCTCTCTTCCATTCAACATCACAGTAGTAATTAGCTAAACAGATTGAATCAAAGGAAATGTAAAAATTTCTCTGAACTACATGTGATTCATTATAAAGTTTCCAAGACAGTTGTTTGTTTGTTTTTGCATAGGCCAGAATTTGACTCGGATGACCAGAGATTGCTTTACATTGAATCAAAGTGTACCAGAGAAATCAATTTTGCTTTGCCTGTTCATGGAAAAGGAGACACAGTTGCCAGCAAAATGCTTCTTTATGTCATTCTTAAATTCTCACGAACTGTTCTCATGAACAGTGATTACAAATCTATGCACCCATATAGACGGTTATGTTTTTCTGGGTTTGAAATCTATTATATAAACCTAAAAATAAAATAGGATTCCCAGTCCACCTCACAAAAATACAACTCTTGAATGTATCTCTGCAATAGCAACTTTTTGATCATTTCAGAACTGATGATTAATTTATTTTCTTCTGCTGTCCATTTTTATGGCTATGAAACTTTGACCAATTCCACAAATTGCATTAAATAATCATTTGGTTTATTTGACTTTGCTATGGCATGATGTATGAGGTTGGTAAGCTATGGATTGTACTTCTGTGTGGATTCAACCTATTTGATAAACCCTGGTTAAAACAAATCATGATTTTGCTTGTTGGGTGAAAGTATACTAAAAGCAAAGAATAGAAAAAAGCAGATACAGTGCAACCTTGATTTAACAAACCCTTATTAGCAGACCTTGAATGCAACAGACCAAATATCCATACTATCTCTCTCCAAAATGGCACGTTGGTTTCAGAGATAACACTATGCAAATAATAATCATTCACGTGATTATGCTAATAATAAAAAAAACATTATTTACATAATAACCCAATTAAGTGAATGATGTAAATCACTGCAATGATTTATTTTTGAATTTAACAGATAGCCAAGTCTGATAGATAGCCATCCCTACAAATAGTCTTTTAAAATTTCACTCCATATTTATAATGCAAAAAATAATAATATAATTATAATTGGCCATATAACTTTGATGCTATGAATAATATCCGTTTGTTAATAATTGTGTTTGAAAACTTGCATTTTTCTGCAATATATTAACTTCTCCAGAGTCATGAGATATTATTTTAATGGAACATTTCCAAGATATGGGACCTCTTCTATAGTAAAAAAATGTGTGGTGTATTATGCATTTTGTAGTTTGTTATGTAAGCTAACAAAAATTCTGGTCAGGTAAGAGTTATTCCAGATTGTTCAATCTAAAAAGAAGAGTTCTTTTCTATGCTTTGAAAAATGGTAAAAACAGTGACATAAATATGAGTTCATAAGCACTGCCACCAGAGGGCAGAGAAAAGCCATTTAGACTGAGGACAAATTATTTTGAAAAATAGCTCGAGCCTATTCTAGATGTGAACAGAGATCAGGTTTCCTTGAAAGAAAAAATATCCAAGAACTTTAATACAGTATAGGGAAAGTATTTAATCGGTTTTTTGCCCCCCTGAATTGTTAAAGCAGCTCCAAGTGCCTTAAAATCATGCATCGGAAATAGATTCAAATAGATATCCAAAAGTGAAACAGCATAATGTAGAGTAAGGAAAAACTCACATCTGGGAAACAATAATGTAGTTATGTGGGAGATCACAAACAAGGTCTCAGATTGCTCTGTATGATGGTCTGCTGGAAAGGACAAAGCACCACTGTTTTCCAAAGGCATAATGGTGTCAAGGCCTTGCAGATGTCTGGAGAATGCTGTGCTAGAAGACAGGATCTACAAACAAGACACATCTCTTGGGTACCATGATGGCACTACTTTACCAATGAGATGTGGGTCATGCTGGACGTGACAAATGTAAAAGAACCAACAGTCCCATAGGGATCTAAGTCTCTAGGCAATTATGTCACAATTGAATATTCATTTTTGCACAATCTCTCACTAACTTAAGGGCTAATGTGTTGCAGTCTGCCAGCGCCCAGCAGAGCTGGCAGCAGACTCGGACAGTGAGGAGGTTGGGGAGAAACAAGGGCCAATTCTGGAGTCTGCGGAAGGCTCTGTGCTCGGCTCTGTGTTGGACGAAGAGATGGGGCCAAGGTCATCTGACAGTTATCAGCTGCCTTCAGAGTTGGAATCAGTGGGGCAGAAGAACAGCTTGAGCTTGTCCCCAATGTGCGCATGCACAGAGCTGTCAGGAGAGGGGGGTAAAGGAACAAAGGTCAACACAGGTGGATGGTGAATGGCCCTTCCCATAGGGAATAAAGAGGAGCGAAAGGGGAATGGTGTTTGCAGGAGACAATTAGTTCATTAAATTAGAGTGAAGATTTGTTCCTGACTTGTATTGTCTGCTACAGCATTTCACTCCCCAAGCCTGATAAAGGTCTGTGATTGTAAATCGCTCTTGAAAGACTGCTTGCTGGGACTTTACTGGATGTGAATGTGAGGAATTCACATTAGCCTAAATAAAAGGGGTTTTGTCAGGATGAGGAGTCTGCTTTGTGATTTTGGGAAGCCTAGGTCAGAACATGATGTAGTTCCCATCTTTATAAAAGGGGAAATATGGATCTAGGGAACTACAGATCTATGTATATCAGGCATGTTGTCTCCTTGGAGCAAAAATCAAAGATGTGTCTGAGAACCTTATTAAAATAATCAAGCCCACACATTATTATTCTTTTCTTGTAAGTGTTGTATCAGACAGGTGAGGAGGGAATGATGAATAGAGTTCCTCTGACTCAGGTTAACAGAGGTGACATGGCTGTCTCATTTGTTGTATAATGCACTGTTTGAATTAAGGATAAAGATTCTGGGACTCAGAAAGGACTTTATGTATATTTTCCTCTCAAGGGCACACTGGGTTCCACATTGTTCTGTTCTTGGTGAAAAAGTAAATATCCTCGTGTCTTTTCATTTTAGCCCTGTAGCCTAATCTTCCCATGATTCTTTCCTTTCTTTCTCTGAGGAATTCAGATATCACCTTCACTTTAGAGGCCTCTAATTCACCCTGTTTGGGATGAACAACCTAAACTTAAGAGCAGCCATCTTGAAACCTAATTTGTTGGCGTTGTTAGAATTCAATAAACTTCCAATAGCAACTGGTCCCTGGCTCTTATTTTCAATTCTTCAGCTACCCGTTTACAACTAGGGTTCTTCTAGCCAAGGTTGACAGCGGTTTTTCTGTTTTATACCATTTGGATTAAAGCCGATGGCTAGAAACAGGAAATAAATTATATAATATAAATATCTTCAGTCAGATTTATTGACAGAGAAGGAAAAGAAGGAAGCAAACGATTTCCAAGTTCACAATACAAGAATGTGTGACTGAATACCCATATGAAAAATGATAGAAATTTAAAACAAACCCTGAAAGAAATAATATTTGATTTTAAGGCTCTGCCTGCCAGACTGGAAACATAAGGGTAAAAAAGTTCATCTCCAGGCTACAGGTATTAGCTGCAATCTATAGATAGAAACATGTTTAAATATAATTGCCATTTCATCTCCATAAGTTGAAAATGCCCATTTCTTGTTTAAAACCAATCTGTATATTACTTGTATGACAATAGAAAGGAATTAGACAGGAATGATAAATAATTCTAAAGCTGAGCTGGATTACTTAATCAAACCACATTGGTTGTAGCCCATGGGTATCAAACTCGCTGCATCATGTTGCCATCACGTGATGCTTCACCATGTTTTTCCCATTCATGGAGCTGAGGTGGGTGTGGCCTGCATGTGATGGCATGCAATTCTCTCTGACAAGCTGCTGTTGGACCCTCCCAGGCTCCCATACTGACTTTTATTCCCTGCTTTTGAAGCGCAGCTGCTTTGTGGGGCAAGCAAATTGCTGCACGTTAGCTGTTGAAGCTGTGGGGATTTCAGGAGGTGAGTAGGAAAGCCTCTGTGTGTGTGCAAAGTGCATGTTTGGTGTGTGCATGCGTGCAAAGTGTGTGCACATGCACAAAGCACGCCCACCAAGCCATGCCTACCAAACCAGTGGTAAACCTCTTTGAAACCCACCACTGAGGCAGATTCTTTTTAGGAAAGGAGGGAATGAAAAGAGAGTTCCTCCAACTCAGATTGACAGAGGTAACATTGCTGTCCCATTTGTTGTATAATGCACTGTTTGAATTAAGGATAAGAGATTCTGGTTCTCAGGAAGTAATTTGTGTGTATTTTCCTCTTGAGGGCACACTGGGTTCCAGGTTGTCATGTTCTTGCCATCTTTCTTACTGATATTTTCAAAGTTCATGTTGGCATTGTCTCCAGGAAATGAACACATTTTGTGGACAGTGTCAGAGTGTGATGGGGTTCTTTTTGAACTGGAGGTATCTTGTTTTGCAAAGATGGCAATGAACACAAAAACACATAATGGTGCTATTTACTATATTATCTATAGTTATTTGCAACAAGAAGTTTCAACATGGCTCTACAACACAATGCTAAGTTCGGGATTCTTCTAAGGTCTCTCTAACAGTTCTCCTGCTTTCTTCACCATTCTCTTGACAACAGAGACAGCACTTGTGTAAAGAGAACCCGGACTTTTTCTCCTTTCTACCAAACTGGAACCACAACTGTAACCTCTGTATACTCAAGCTTTTCTTTCCAGTTCCTGGCACACTCTAATTACAGTTTTGACTCTTCACACCTTCTTTCTTTTATTATTGTTAGACCAGCAACATGTCCTTATAACAGAACAATTTTATTGTTCAATAAAAATATTTTTATATATGTATCCATATCTATATCTATCCTATCCTATCCTATCCTATCCTATCCTATCCTATCCTATCCTATCCTATCCTATCCTATCCT